GGTATACAGATCTATCAGTCATCGGGCCCCGCCCAGTATATATATAAGCATATAAAAATAATAACACATAACACACGTAATAATCACAAATATAAATAGCATAAAGAATGGTCAACGGGCCCCGCCCGACATCAAGCCCTGCCCAGTAACATATAAACACATATCACATGCAAGAGTCACACATACAACTAGCATACAAAACATAGAATCCATGGGCCGACATTGGTGTCTTCGACCTGCTAAACACAGTGAGGAAACTCACCTCTAGCTGTTGAAACACTCAAATGAAATATCGGATGGCTAGTACGGAAGAATCCCGCGCTATCATCATCAAAATAATATCCAATTAATAATTAGATCTCAACCCAACCAAGAAACTAGGGTACATAACCCACAACCAGGGTAAAAGACCATTTTACTCTTTTTATCACTTGGCCAAAAACCAAGGCCCAACCCAACTACTCGAAGGCCCAAATCCTAAGTAGCAACCTAGAGTCCAATATGACCCAATGTTCAAAATTGGGCCAAAAACCCATGATGGTCCTAAATCCAAACGAGCCCTAATACTAGCAAAAGCATAAAATAAAAAGTCTAATGGCCCAACCAGGCCCCATATTTAAAGTCCAAATCATGGCCCAATGCCGAGTAAATCAAGCCCAAAAGCCCATCTGCTGAGTACACGGGGCGTACTCAGCTCGTATGCTTAGCCTACTCCATTTAGGGCCAGTATGCGTAGCGTACCAGCTGGGTATGCCCAAAGTACTCCCTAGATTGACATCCCACTCCATTAAGCACTTAATCGGTTTAGACCTCAAGCCAAACTCTCAGATCTGGTCCTAAAGGGTGACGTATCACGTAATGTTGGTAAATTTACACCCATGCATGGCTTCCAAGGGACTCAAGGCTTAAGAAAGAGTTTAATAAAGGTCTTAATGCTTGCATGGACCAACAAGATCCATACAGTTTGCATTTTTATGAACTATGGGCCTCATTGGGGCTAGATCTAGCATCCATTGCTTCTGGAGTAGATCAAAAGCTCATCTATAACTTAAAAGGCTCAAAGATGCATATATAACAGCAGAAACTAGATCTCGCACATAAGACCATCAAGGTGTGAGCTTTTTACCTCAAAAGCCTCAAAATGAGAAGGTAATCCCGAATTTACAAGCTCAAGCTATTCCTTTAATCAACCACCAAGGATTCTTCTTCTTATTCTTTCACGAAAACACCACCAAAATCACACTTACAAACTCAAAACTCACAAGAGGCACTTAGGGTTTCGTTTTCAGGGTAAAGGAAGACGGAGGCTGATGATAAGTGTCCAAGAGGTGTTATAACGAGGTTTAAATAGAGAGCAAACCCTAAAAATTGGGGTTTGTCCAAACCATGTGTGCGCCTTACGTACGCCCAGTGTACGTGGGTGAAGTCCGCGATCAACCAGAGAGCTAGTACTTTCAGCGTATTCATAGAGTACGCCTCGCATACTAGATTGGGACCAAAAAGTAAAGGATTTGACATTAAGTGGCTAAAAGGGAAACATACCAAAATACGAATGTTAGATTTGTTCTACTATAAAAAAGTGATGCTTATTTACATTTGTTCTTTTGTTCTGAATTTTGAAATTTTATTTAAAATGTAATTTTCATTGTAATTTCCTTCCAATTAATACACAAGATTAATACCCTTGTGCTTATCATTTTTCTAAAACCGGAAAGTATATGTGAAGAATTTATTTTCTTATGTTTCTTCTTCTTATGAACATAAAAAGTTTTAAATATTATGATTATCTATCTTTCAAATGATTGTTTTTGGTAGAATCACTGAATTAAGAATGCACTATTTTCAAAGATCGACATTTTTACTCTTTTCTTAAAATAACATTCTACTTTGGAATTTTCATGGATTTCCTAAACTTTCAAACTTGTTTTCATAAATATTCAAACTCCTAGTAATCTTGAATTTGTCCCGACTTAAACAATTGGACGATCTTTCAAAAAGTGAAATAACAATATTTTTGTACAAATTAACTTATTACCGACTTAAACCTTTAACATTAATTAATCTTTATATTATTTTAATACTTCATTTGATCGTCACTCGTGTATCTTCATTCTCTTGAAATTATTACTCATTTTGATAGTAGTGAGATTACTTATCATTTCTAAACACTCAAAATTCTATGTACGCAATGTGATTTAATTTATCATAAACTTTCATCGCCTCTATTTGCAACATTGACTCTCTAAATATATATATTCTTTGAATATGGTTTTATTGTAGCAAGAATAAAAATAGTAGTAAATATAGCTTCGAAAATCCTTGGTCATTTCGTAATTTATTTTGTAGACGACACTTAAATAGTCTTTACACTTGAGATTTACCAAAACTTCGTTGCCTACCCTTACCACGTATCATTAGGAACTTACCCTTGATTGCTTCTCTTTCATTCGTGCTACCCCTTCTTATTTCCGAATATACCTTTTTCAGATTTAGTAGCCAATCCGAAAGTGAACAAATTGTTCCTAATCCCTTCTTTATTAGACATCGAAGTTACACTTGGTGATGATTTAGAATGCGACTTACGGATCAGTGCGAATTTAGCACCCAATTCAGTTGATGCTTCAGAAAAAGTGATAAAGCACTTTTAAGTTAGATAATATCTAACTAGATAATCTTTTTTTGTCTAGGTCTCCATGGTTGGGTCATGATTTCAATGATCCTAATTTCCAACAATCTAGAGTGTATAACTCGAATTACGGAAACATTAATTTGATTATGGCTAAAGAGTTGGGCTCTTCCCTTGAGGAATTAACCCAAAAAAAATCAAAGAGCTCTTCAAGTCACCATCTCTCCAATTATTCAATTGTATTCGGCTGAGTTCTAATAGAATGCGTCACCAATTGAATTTCGGGACGAAATTCTTTCAACCGGGGGAGACTGTGACAACCGTTAAAATTCGAGTCGGTTCTAGATTTGACTAAACTTAGTTGCACATATAGGCACGACTCATACTAGACTTAATAACTAGAAGCTAAGTTATAACCTATTAGAAACTTGGAAATAGTTAGAAACAATAGATAGTGTACTTCGATTTCACATTGATATGTGAATTCTATAACTACTTAACTGTAGTGACTATCCATATTCCGGTCACTCTTTGACTCGAACACCTTTTTATGAATCATGTAGACACATCATGAACTTGACCTAGTGGTATAAATCAGGTCTGAGTCTCGTAGGAACTTAAGTCAAAGTTGAAACTAGGACTAATATACATGATACTTCAATTTCGCTTGAATCTCGAAATCACTACATAGAAATGCCAATAAACCGGTAAAAATAAATTACAAATATTATTTCTTACTTGAATAAGAGTTAGGAAATCCCAAAAATAATTTGAAATCTCAAAATTCAAGTAATTTTTATATCTAAAGATTTACTAACTCTCAGAAACCCTAAATGCCCTACAAACCTAAATTTATAAAAATTAACCTCTAAAATTCAATTAAAATAGTTATGAACCTTAGAATATCAATTTAAAATAATTAAAATTAGGAAAATATAACCAAGGAAATAAATTTTAGGTCATCACCAATTACCCTTAATTTGTATGCCAAAAATCAAGGTTTTATGGATAAAAGCTATGTTAAGTTGTATATTTAATAAAACCTTGATATTTTTATAAAATATGTTTTAAATTTTATAAAATTTAACAGAGGGAACCACTATCTCCGTTCAAAGGTCGGATCTCTCCTCCCCATACCTCTCTTCCCCAAAATCATAATCACATCCCTCATTTCTTACACCCCACCTTTCTCTTTCTCTCTCTAAAAACTTCTCTCTCACTTTTCTCTAAAACTGACGATCAAAGAAGCCAAATCTATGGGAGAGATTTAGCCAGTCTATTATTCATGAGCCCTTATGCATTTATGTACTTTGGTGGTCGATTTTGGTCAAGGGAAACCCCAAAGAGATGACGAGAGAGATGAGCTATCCAGAGAGATATAATCTCTCTTTTTTCTATTTTCTTTCTTTTCTTCTCTCTAAAACCCCATTCTTTCCCCCTCTTCATAACCCACGAAATTTTCCAGAAAATAAGTCCAAGAACACACCTCAAACTCGAAATCTTAATCATCTGGTGGTGTTCTTGAAGGTAAAATCGATTTCTACTTCACTTTTCCTTCTAGTTTTACTATTTTTCTTGCACTTTCTCCTTCTTCTACTCCATTCTATTGTAAAATCATGAACACTTGCACCTACTCACGTTTTTGATGGTGATGGTGGTAGATTTTCACAAAAAACATCTTGCATTGTAACAACCCGTTTATTTAATAAATAAATAAACAAATTAATGAATGAATAGTAGCCCTAAAATCATATATTATATAACAAAGTGTTGGTCTCGAGGAGTTAACTGTCACAGTTCTAGAAGTTGGGGGTTAAAAGTGTAAGTTCGGGGATTTATTTTGTAAAGATTTTTAGAAGATAGGGGTGTTTTGTATCATTTGGACCTAATATGAAAGGATTTATGGAAGCAAGGGCTAAAGAGTAAATTATGGACCTAAGTTGAAAAGGTTTTATTGAGGGAGGGGCTGCATGGTAATTATTGAGACTTATGTTGAAGGCTTTTTGGATGGCTGGGGTCATAAAGGTAAATTTTGGACTTAATTTGTAAGGATTTTCTGAAGGAAGGGTTTAAAGGGTAAATATGGGATTTATTTCGAAATGATTTCTGGAAGGAGGGGCTAAACTTGTCATTATGGAATAAGTTTGGGGGATTGGGGTATATAACCCGTCACCACCCGCGAAACCCTAACCCTAAGAGATTTCGTCAGCCGCCATCCCCTTCCCCTACCTCCAGCCGTCACCTTCCTCTTCGTAGTTCCCATCAGGCAAGACCGACATGCCTAGCGTTTCCAGCCGACGTCGATGCCGCCATTAAAAGCGTTCATCCACTACGACCATCCCATCTGCCGGCGAGGACGTTCATCACTACTGTTTCATTGCCACCAACCCGCCGCTACCCGTTTCCTTTTAAGACCAAGTAGGCATCGCTTATGTTGTGAAGGAGGACGAAGACCGACAGTGGGATGTCGGGAGTGAAGAGGGGCAGCTACTTCCGCATTTAACCGCTGATGTGAACGCCTCCCAGCCCATCTACCGCCGATATCGTCAATGGTATGTGCTGCCGTTCGATGAACGCCACCACGTGGGTGGCTGCTTCCGGATCTCGAGCGAGGTGTGGGTGTCATCGCTATCTTATTGCCACCATGTATGTTCACGGTTCTGCCACCACCAGCCGCCATGTGATGGTGGCTATGGGTGTGTCTTGATGCAATGTGCATGTGTCTGCTATGTGTGTGTTTATTTTAGTAAAGTGGTGTTGGATTGTTTGGTCGGAAAACTAAGAAACAGGCGACCACCACCACCGTGAGGTGGTGGTTGCCGCCCTTTGCCACTGTCGGCCACCACTAGGGTGGTGGCTGCCGCCTCCACCCTAGTAATTATTAGGAATTTGATACGGAGTGATAGAAAATCGATTATTAAGAAAGGATCGGTTCTGGGTATAGCAAGCAACAGCAATAGCATCGTCCCAGAAATACAGAGGAAGAGAAGCGAAGCTAAGCATGGTTTTGGCAGCCTCACATAACGAACGGTTTCGCCTTTCAACTACCCCATTCTTTTGTGGAGTATAAGGTGCGAAGAAGTTGTGTGTGACTCCCTTTTCGGCTAGAAATTCTTCAAAATCTTTCTTCTTGAATTCCAATCCGTTGTCACTTCTAACATTTCTAACCATCTTTCGCAGTTGAAGTTCCATTTGCTTTATAAAGATCTTGAGTTTGGGAGTTGCCTCTGATTTCTGTTTAAGAAAAAATACCCAGGTGAATCGTGAAAAATCATCGATAATAACAAGTATGTACTTACTACCACCGACACTCTCAATTGCCGATGGCCCACAAAGATCGATGTGTAGTAGTTCAAGAGCTTCAATGATCTTCGTGTTTACAAGAGTTGGATGACTCTTTTGGCTCTGCTTCGCCATTTCGCATGCGGTGCATAGATGATCCTTATCAAACTTCAAGAGGGGAAGACCTCGCACATGATCACCAAAAACGAGCTTGTTGATATCTTTAAAGTTCAGGTGCGAGAGTCTTCTGTGCCATAACCAGCTATCATCAGAATGAGCTTTTGTTAACAAGCAAACAGCAAGCTTCCCTCGTATCAGATTTAGATTTAGCGGATACATCTATCCTTTTCGTTGTGACTTCAGTAGAACTGTTTTCTTTTTCTTCTCTATGATCTCTGATCCTTCATCATCGAACGAAACCTTCAGGCCAGTCCCCACAACTAATTGTGAAACACCAATTGGATTGTGTTGTAATCCTTCCACATAGGCAACTTTACGGATTAAGAAATCTCCATTTGTGATCATCTCGTAGCCTTTTATTGTGCCATAAGAGTTGTTTCCGTACTTGACACATCCACCATCTTTGAGAGCATGAAACTCCCTTAGCTCTTCCTTCCTCCCTGTCATGTGACGCGAGAAACCAATATCAATATACCATTCGTCGTCAAACTACTCGTCACGTATAACCTACAATAATTAAGTAGATTTAGGAACCCAAAGTTGCTTGGGTCATGGTGAGCCTTTTACAGAACAGGGAAAAGCAATTGAAAGATCAACCATATATATTCGTTTTATTAACGTGGTTTCGTCTTTCCTTTTAATGGTGAAAACATTGATTTTATTTTCTTTCACATTCGGTTTGTTTAAATCAAATTGTTTATCTTTATTTTGATTCCTAACACTTTCTTTCTTAATACTCCTAGGGTTAGTGGTCGTCTTTTGCGTTCGAGCTTCAGAATCTGAGACAAGCTTTCTCTTCCCTTTAACATCCTTGATACGAGTTTTATTTGGTTGAGAGTGAGGAGGATTGTGTTTCTCGGTGAACTTTCTTGGTGATGATGACCTGTGAGCGAGACTCCCCTTTTGTTCGTGTGAAGCACATGAATGACAGTGTGAACACTGTTTGGGGTTCGCTTGCGAATGTGCTTTCGCTTTCTGACTGGGAGCTTTTTCTTTACGCACATAGTTGGAGTTTTGGGATTGCCAAAACTGCTTCCTCTCATTGAGATTTTTCCGATATCTCCTATTTCGCTGACGTTTTTGCTCTGCAAGTTGCTTGGAATATTTGTAAATGTTTACGTTCGGTTTCGGTTTCCTTGCATAAGATTCGCTCCTTACTGACTGAGATTCGCTTGTTCTTTTGGTTTCGCTTTGAACTTCTTTAGTACCACTTGTACTTGCTTTAGTGAAACTGGATGGCTTATTTATTGGTTCAACCACGTATCTACCTTTCACTCTCCATGAGGTTCGTTCTGATAATCCTTTCGTTTCATCTGCATTATCTATCGGAGCAGACCAGAAGTACTCATCAAAGCCATCGACATTGTCTTCATCTACCAAGGTTGTTAGATCAAGAGTTTGTTTCTTGGTAACTCCAGTGGTGGCGTACACTTGATTTGGTACGGTTTGTACCTTTCACTATACCACAGCCTTTTCTTTCAGGACTTTGTTCTTGTCTTTAGACAATCGAGCGAACTCAACAGAGTTTTCGGATATAAGGACTTTTGCTGGTTCAGGTTCGGTTTTAAATAATTCAGAACAGTCAACCTCGTCCTCTACAGATATTTCACTCATGTCACTGTCCTCATCAAATTCAGATGTATTTTCAGCATTAATCTTGTTATCTGAACTCAACTTGGAACTCGATGAATCAAATTTCTGTACAGTTTTGGTCTTTATTTTCAATCTATCATTTTCATCCAGTAAGTTTCTGAGCATGTCCTTAAGGTCTTTGGACTTAATAAATGACTAAACTTTGTCCAGTCTAATTTTGTAGGCGTCAGAGATTTCTTCTGATGAGACAATTGATTCACAGTTATAGCAATCAGTATCTATTTCATCTTCCTTTAATTCAAGGAAAGGCAAAATCTTTTTGTGAATCTTTTTGCCAATCTCACAATAAAAATGCAACTGAGTAATATTGGTATAAAGACGTTTCGTAATTAAACAAAAAATATTCCTTTGTTTCAAAATTTTCAAATTTTCACGTTGCAAATAAATCAATTCATCTCTTGCCCTAACCAACTCTAATTCCTTCTTCTCTATCCACAATCTTTGCTCCTCACTCTTGGAAGACACCCTGCTAATTTGATCAGTTAGGTTAGAGTTTGTGAGGCGAGTTTGTTTTAGGCTACCACTTAGACTAGAAAATTTGAATTTGAAATCATTTAATTCTTTTTCATAGTTAGAAACGGGTATTTTGAGTGCTTCAAGGATGGAATTTACCTTCTTGATCAACTGATCACATTCGTTGATCTGTTCTCCAACCGATTTCGCTGCGAAGCATCTACCTTCCTTCTCTTTCGCTTCATCATACCCACTATATGTAGTATAACCTCTCATTTGTGACACACTAGCTGTCACAATCAGACACCTTCCAGCAAACTCAGAACCTTCTTCCTTCGCAACAAATGCCCTGCCACTAGTGGGCTTGCGAACTTCCTCATCTTCTGAGTCAGTAGACCACACCTCTACTCTACCGACCTTGTGTTCTTCAACATTTTCCTGCACAATTAACACATGCATAGATTTATCGTTAGACTTCTTCTTCTTGATCTCTTCAAGCTTACGCATGTAGTAAGCTTCGTCGTCTTCACCCTCTTTCTTCTCATTTAGTCTCCTTAGCATGCATTCCTTCAATAGATGGTTTTTGCCATGACAATAATTACAGTCATAGCCCGAGTCACCCGCAAGTTTGCTCTCCTTCTTCTCTTCTTCTTTCTGAGGATTGCTTTTAATCTCCTATTTCGCTTTCTCCGAACTGTAGCTTCCCTGCCAGTTTCGGTTCTTGGTGGTAGGGAACTTCTTTCTAGCAAACCGCTTGGGGTTAGACACCATCAAAGCGTATTCTTCAATTTTCAAATCACACTCAGAAAGATCCGACTCTGCTTCTTCTTCAACCACAGTCTTACCCTTGGAGATAAGAGCCAAGGATCCCATTCCGGATACTACCTTCATTTCCTTTGTTACAACACTTTCATGCGACTTGATGATTCCTACGAGCTTCGCCAACGAGTAGGTTTTAAACTGTTCATGAGCTTTAACAGTTGACACCACCGCCATCCATTCTGGCCTTAGGCCATTCATAAAAGTGACCTACTGCTCAATCACCTCTCTTCCGATTTCGTGCTTAATCATCTTACTGAGAAGATGGTTATAACGATCGAATGTTTTAATGAGACTTTCATCTGGCTGTTGCTTGAAGTCACCAAACTCCGAAAGTAGAAGAGTTTAAATGGAATGCTCGAGATCTTCATCGGTGGAATCTAACTCCTTAAGCCTGTCCCATATCTCCTTTGTAATAGTACACGAACTTACTTGACGAAAGGTATCAGATTGTAAAGCAAATTTGATCATCCTTATAGCTTTTATGTTGCTAGTCAGTTTGTCCTTCTCATCTTAAGGGACATCCTTCGCATCGATCATAAGTTGATTGTACTCTTTTTGTGTCTTTATGGTTCTATTGGTTCCGGAGTGAACGAAGGGACACAATGTTATAGCCTCCCAGATTAAATACTCGTTGTCTTCTGAGCCAAGAACATAATCTTCAAAGTGAAGAGCCCATACCTCATACTTGTGAGTATAAAGGATCAGAATCCTTGTAGTAGATCCAATGCTATTGGATATGTTGATTGAATTGGTTTGAGAATCTTTGTGTGACATGATGACTTTATTTGTTTATCTGTCAAGAATCAGACTTGTAAAGCGGTATTAGGGTAATATCGAGATCGAGGAACAACGTCAATGAAGAGATGACGGCTCCAGTAGATTCGATAAAAGCGGAAACCCTAAAGATTTTCTTCTAACAGAAGAGATGCGTATGAATTACACAGCCTCCTGCTCTGATACCAATTGATGAAACTAAAATAACTTTAAGATCGATTAGATTCTTAACAGAAAAATCAATAACACAAAGTAAATAACACACGATGAATCGAAACTGATGTCGAATGATTAATAAGCCACAACCTCAGAAGAGCTCTATGAAGAACTGCTACTGTAGAGGTTGTGCTAGGGTTACAATACGATAAACAAGAAATAACTTATGTGTGCGTAAATACTTCGGTGCATGCATGCACCCTATAAAGTAAAACCTAATTAATAATACACGGTTGGACATGCCCAATACCGTATACAAAATGGACTAAAGAAATAAGCCCAATGACGTAATCTTCTATA